ATTTCCCGCATAAAGGAATACCTGAAAGCCAATTTCCAGGTTAAGGAACTAGGTGAGTTGAAGCATTGTTTGGGACTAGAATTTGCGAGAGAGAAGGAATTCATGTCAGTGAGCCAGTCCGGTTACTTGAATGACGTCCTGAAGAGAATCGAGATGTTCGGCCGAATGAGTCACGAGAAACACCCTCACAGAGAGCTGGTGGGAGCGCTGATGTTTTTGTCATTGGGAACCAGACCCGACGTAGCGCATGCCATCAGTCGACTGAGCCAATTCTTGGATTGTCATACGGAGGTCCATTGGAACGCCGCCAAACGGGTATAGAGGTACCTCAAAGGTATGAGAAACATGGGTTTGGTATTCACAAAAACTAAGGATTATCCGATAATGTATACAGACCCTGACTAGGGAGGCTGCGATGTGGACCACAACTCTTACACGGGATATGTCCTTTTGGCCAGCGGAGCAGCTGTCAGTTGGGGATCCAAAAAGCAGCCTATATTTGCTTTATCGTCAACGGAGGCGGAATACAGGTCGCTTACGGGTGCGACGACAGAAGCTCTTTACATGGAGCGACTCTTCAGGGACTTCGAAGTCAACGTGAAATGTGTCACCATTCACAATGACAACATTGGTGCTCAGAAGTTGGCGAACAATCCCGTGTTCCACGCACGCAGAAAGCACCTGGACATCAGGCACCATTTCGTACGAGATGCGATTAGGCAGCAGCTAGTGAAAATCGAACACGTTTCAAAAACACGAGATGACCGCAGACGTGTTGTCCCAGGCTCTCCCTAGGACATCGATTCCTGACCGAATGGAGACGTTGGATTCATCCTCACTGCAGTTCGAGGGGCAGTCCGAAGTGTTGGCGAGCCCGCATCAAGGCGCACGTCAGCGCCGCTAGCGCTCTACACGTTCGTTTCCATACACTAACCGGCGCTCCGCGAGGAACGTCGGTTGACACTTGTATCACTGACTTGATAACAGTAAACCTTGTTTGTTCTAATCATATCAGGATTTCCCACCTGCCTCTGACAAAAATAACATTTGTCTTTTATTTCATGTACTGCCTCCATTTACATGTTCCTGAATATTTCAATGGCAAAGATATCAGAAAATGCAGGAAGTTTCATTGTCTACAATTCTCCCACATAAAGTAATAAGTAATCAATTTATTGTGAATGGCTTAGAACCAATCAACATATCTTAGCAAGGGTACAATATTTAAGATGTTTTTATAGGTGTTGCAATGCTTATCAATGAATTGTTACTTCTAAAAGTTTGAAAAGAACATGTAATATGTCAACAATTGATTATACATCCCTCTGAACTAGTGTTTACACAAGATATCACAATGATGTTTACAAACTTGCTTTCTGCACTTAACACAAGAGTTTTGGTTTCCTGTCTGTATTACTAAGGCATGCATGACGTCATTTTTCTCTTTGCAAGATTTCTACTTCCCTATGTTCCTCTTCAAGAACAATAAATTGTTTAATTTTTAAAATCATGTGCTTCGGTAATATACTAATTTGTGATCATGAACAAGGCTCACTGAAACACTCTTCGAATACCATCACCTTGGTCCAACTGATACATTGCTCGTACAATGATCTGAGTTGACTCTACTAATATTTTAAAAAAGTTAAATGTCAGTGGCCATATATTATTTTTCCTAGAAACATTATAGGTTCCACAAATTTTATCTACAGTATCCAGGGCACCTTTTGTAGCAAAGTGGAAAGTAACATTCTCTGGCTTTTTTGCAACTCCTGAATCTAGTTCTTGCCTCTCGCTAATCTTTTGTATTAACAAGATCTGGAGGTATTACTTTTTTCTTGTTTTGCAGCATCTCTACTACAGTGAGTTTGTAATTTTTCAATCAGTTTTCGGCCAAAGGTATACTTGTAACCCAATTATCTAAAGGGACATTAATGTGAAATTTCGAAAATGGTGTTACCATTTTCTTCGTAGCATCCGCAGAATTACTAATTTGATATGGACCAGCTGGCTACTTTCCTGCATATGCCTCCATTTGCAAAGTGTAATACATTCTGGAATCAACTAGACAAAATATTTTAATTCTATACTTAACAGGTTTATTATGCATAAATTGGCAAAATAGGCAATCCTCAGAAAGCTACAAGACTTCCATCAAAAGTGCAGTATTCACATACTGTATAATTTCTTTGGCAATTTTCTACAAACCTCTGAAAAATTTGCTGTTAGAGCAAGGTGGTCAAATTTCTTCCTCCCCTCCCTGCTAATTTCGATCAAATCTCAGACAATGCATAAAAAAAATTGAATCTTTGTTGAGACATTATGCAGAGAAATGTTTATATTCCTGTCCCATCTGTAGTCCATAAACTTTCTGTACTTAGTTGTGACAATTTTAGTAATCCAGCAGGGAAAAGCAATCCAATTAGAGTTCTAATTTCAACCACATTTGTAAAGAAAAGATTCCATACTTCCAGGGGAGAAGAGATACCTTTTGCTGAAGATTTTAGATCTGGCAAATGAGTGACAATATTGCACTCTGAAGTTTATGAATTTATAGTAAGTTCCATTGTTCTCCACTTTGTAATTCCATCTTTTCTGGAAACAGTTTTCTAGAGACGTTGAGAAAGTGGTACATCATTGTCACTGAAGCAGTCTTCTTCATCTTCTACACTCTTCTTTACCACAATCAGTTTCTACAATTTTCAGATCATCTTCACTCTCACTTTTTTCTGTACCCTTAAACAGTTTCTAAAAGAGATAGCACCCATTCTTCTTCCCGTTTGTAACTCAAATTATTCATAAAGTCAAATAAATAAACACAATATCCTTCACACAGTAACATTTAATCGATGTACTGGCAAGACTGAAACACCTGCAAGCTTTTCACACTGCCAAGAGAAGTGGTGGCGCAGGGTCAGGCAGATAACTTTGCACGACTCAACTTATCACTATTCCAGGAACACGGCGCTGTTGCAAAAGGCTTACGTCTTTCACACAAAAGACAACAAATGAGGTGAAGAGTATATTAAACGTAAAGCTTCTGACTCGCAAAATTAGACAATTGCAGCTAAGCTAACATACGTGGGGTTACAAGAGACCCCGTCCTACCACTCTTTGGTTAAACAGAAATAATACTACTTTCATCCAACTTGATAAGTTAGGTTCACATTTCAAGAAGTAATAATATATCAAATTAAGAACGTAAACAACAAAGGTCTAGAATTTTAATGCATTTGCAACTTATCTAGAAGATAAATTATTTTTTGGTTTATCAAAAAGCCTTAGAATGAAAAGGGTTTATTTGTACTTAATAATTAAAGATGTTGTCATTGCCAACAATGTTTTTTAATTCAAAAGCAGCTTTCGATGGCTTAGCCATCATCCTCAGTTGTCTGATACAAGAAGAAAACACAAAAAACAAAAAACATTTAAACGTGAATTAACAACAAGATTATGATAAAGGTTACAATAATTTACAAATTTTTTGGAAAATATATTGACAACGGGAGAAAGAAAAAGTGTGGTGTGTGTGTGTGTTGTGTGTGGGGGGGGGTTAAGCCATTATACTAAAAAAAAGCGAATGAAATAGAAAATAGGACACGTAAAAATTATTTTTTATACAGAAACATAGAAATGTAAGTTGAGCCGTTCCTTACCTGCTAGATGGAAGCCACAAAACGACTACGCGGGGTCGGGCGAGCCGAGGGGCTTAAGTACCCGGCCGTGGGGTGGAGGAGGGGCAATGGCCTGGGTGCGGTGCACTGTCACCGTGCCGCCCCGGCAGGGTGTGGTGTGGGAGTGGTGTCTAGTAGTAATTTTAGTAAAGGGAAGGACTATTGGTTTATGTTTTCATTTAATAAGTTATTATTTAAAAATGAATGTGTAGGTTTTCTAAAGTTAGTCTGGTGTGGTAGTGGTTTTCTATTTCCAGTATACGAATGTCTGTGTGTGGATTGAATGTATGGCCTGTCTGGAGTAAATGTTGGCAAAGTGAGATTTACAGGTGTTGTGTTTCCAAGCATGTATGTGTTTCCTTGATCTCTGGTATTGAAAGTTCGGCCTGTTTGACCAATCTCTTTACCCATCTCCCTTTAACTAAAATTACTACTAGACACCACTCCACACCACACCCTGCCGGGGCGGCACGGTGACAGCGCACCGCACCCAGGCCATTTGCCCTCCTCCACCCCACGGCCGGGTACTTAAGCCCCTCGGCTCGCCGACCCCGCGTAGTCGTTTTGTGGGCTTCCATCTAGAGGTAAGGAACGGCTCAACTTACATTTCTATGTTTTCTGGTATAAAATAATTTTTACGTGTCCTATTTCTATTTTCATTCGCTTTTCTTTAGTATGAATGGCTTACCCCCCCCCCACACACACACACACACACCACTTTTTTCTTTCTCCCGTTGTCAAATATATTTCCAAAAAATTTGTAAATTATTGTAACCTATCATAATCTTGTTGTTAATTCCACAGTTTTAATGTTTTTTGTTTTTTTGTGTTTTTCTTCTTGTATCAGACAACTGAGGGATGATGGCTAAGCCATCGAAAGCTGCCTTTTGAATTAAAAAAACATTGTTGGCAATGACAACATCTTTAATTATTTTAAAAATGCCAAAGATATCCTACCACAACACCTATATTATTTGTACTTAACCCTTTAAAATTTTGTACCTGGAATTCCTGTTGAAAATGAACAAATCACGGCCATACATGCTCATAATATTTACATCAAACAGCAAATTTAGTTAACAGAAAAAGTTTTAATAAAAAGACTGGAAAACCACATAAATTCTGGGAAAGGGAAAAAAAAACAAAACAAATCAAATAACTAAATATATTATTAACACCAATCAATTTATTTGGAAAGGTTTTGCGTCTGGATAGGAAGAGCTTACTTTAGTTTGAAAAAGGGCATTCAAAATAGGACCATATTAATATTATCTTTAAAACAAATTCACTTCTCAAAACTAATTCATCCAATAGAAATAACAAATTAATAGAATTATGAAATTTTATTTTGTATTCTTAAAAAGTATATAAAATATATTAACACTTGATACATATTCTGTACATTTTAAATTAATAACTTTCAATATGATCAGAAAATGGACGGACGATAAAGGAGAAACAAAATAAATCCATTTCTATGAAGTCTTTCACATGCAAGTATTAAAAAACAATGTTCTGTTTCCAAGAATTTTCTCCAAAGAGGAATTAACACATAATGCGCACGATTTGTACATACATACAATTCAAAACGTTTTCCTCTAAGCACATTATAAAATATCAATATAACACACACACATTTTCGGCCATTACGAGCTAATTTAAGAAGACGGTTTATAAAGTGCAATGCTGAATTTACATTATTTAAATAGGTATGTAACCCTAACAATTGATATGAAACATTTGGCTAATTGCAGACATTTTTATTTAAAAATTAATGATCCAGCTTCCAATTTTTCTCGTAATTATAGATGAAGAAAACTTTTAAAAATACATCTTCAAAAAACAAATTAAATAATTCCATATTTTGTTGCGACGGATTCTCACTGAAATTACTCAAATTGAAAAAGATTGTAGAGAAAATAGTGTTCCAAGGTATTCCCCAAATCTTCCCTTACAAAATCCAATACAACTCAAATGCATTTACAAACAAGTGATCAAAACAAAGAGTAAATCTAAAAAGTATTATTTGGGAAAGCGAGAGGGTAATTTTAAAAAATCATAATGCAAATACTCCTAAAGGCGTTTAAGGAGTAATAAAAGTGAAGTAATGGAGTGAATAAATTGAGTAAAATTACAAAAATACTTTGGCGTGGGCAATATGCACCCTTCCCCCTACAGATGCAAGTAATCAAAAGGGAATATTTAAATATGTAATGTCTCTTACAAATTGCATCAAGCATATGAATAATTTAAATCTTCCCTATTAATGAAATATTCCAACAATTGCTGTAAAGAACAAAACAGACCAGAAGTATTTTCAAATTAACAGAAATGAAAAATTTTCAGAGATGGCACCAGAAACAGGCGCATCAAGTTGATTCTCTGAAATTTAATATTACTGTGTGGTCCCAAAGACAAAGGCTGTGAAGGAAGAAATCCAATCACTTCTGAAATACAACTTGAAGGGTAGACACACACATTCTAGGAAGGTCACCAAATACTTATTTAGTAAGTCATTCTAGTAATTTACAATATATATGAGGAACGTTCAATAAGTTATTACCTCAGTATCTTATGGCATTGTTGAAGAGCTGAGCGTGCACAGGCACATTAAGACATGTCTCGGTATGGTTTGGCCTCGGTTACAAATCAGACTGCCATAAGCTCTTGACGTGAGAAGATGGCAAATGCAGTGTCATGTGGATTGACAGAGAAAAAGAGAGATTTCGAACATTGTGAGAAATTCAGAGATTTGACACACTGTGGCTTCAAACAACTTAATCATCCTCCTTATAGCCAAGATCTGGATCCTAGAAATTACTTTCTGTTTCGAAACATGAAAAAATTATGAGTGTGTGACGATTTCCTGACAATGAATCAATTAAGGAAGCTGTAATGGGGTATCTGCACAGTCAAAATGCTTCCTTCTTTTCTGAAGGTATTTGATCACTGAGAGCAAAATAGACCAAGTGTGTTGAAGTCAATGAGTGATTTCCAATATAAAATTTCATATTCATGCTCAGGCAGATAACTTAATGAACGTCCTACATATGAGGATGACGCTTCTGGACGAGATAATATTAGGAACTAAGTTCTGAAGGCGGTGTCACATCTAGCACATGAAACTATTTCTTCATATAAATATCTTGCAGGACAAAAAAAGAAGAATGACAGTACGAACGTTTTCTGTAAAAATATGGCAGGGGAAATTTTATAGGGAAAGTTTGGCTTCCCTTGTCTAACTCAAACACCGCCCCTCATGAATTTAAGTTATCAAAACTGCATAACAGCTTGCTAAAGTTAATACTTTAATACAATATTTCTATGTCACAAAATTTCCATTATTATGAAGATTAAATATCCAAAATTCAAAATCTTACTACATCTGCAAAAATTCCTAAGTCCAATCCCTACAATTTGAGGAATTAAGGTATTTTTTCTTATCTTTAATCTATAATTCATTTACAATCTTTGCATTGAAATGCCTTAGAAAATATTTTCACAAGAAAGTAAAGAAAATAGATTACCAACAATGACTAATATTTTAAAGAAAATAGATATCAGTATATTTACATCAATTACTATTAACAAATGGTATTGTGCCTTTATAGCTATAATGAAGTAACTGCCAAAATGGAACTGTTTAACACATAAATTATTTGATAAAATGCTAGTACCAAAACATAACCTTAAAAATTAAAATCATGACTTATAGTCATAAAAAGGAAGAACTCTTTAAAATCACATAGTAAAATGCACATTACTTGAATGGACGGACTGAGTAAATACTGTTAGGGTCCAACATACTTATTTTTAAATCAGAGAAATAAATAAAAATTCAAAAATCATTACAAATATCTCTTATAATCAGCATTGAAAAACAGTCAATAGTGTTTCACCTGAAGAGCCCAGAAGAGCTTGATGAAAATGTCACATGAGATTCACGCAGTTCTGCTAGTTTCTCCTTCACATAATATGAAATGTTCTTACACAATGAATGGAAGTAATATAGATTATCATCCATACGTTGCCACATCAATTTTTCTAGCTCACAATCTCATCATGCTTGTTAAGAATCAATGTAGAATTTTAAAAAAATTACATTTGAACCATCTAACTTGCAGCGTCAAATAATGAATTACCCAATATTCATCAGAGTACTTTATGACATACGTTCATAAAAATACACACCTCATGAGAGAACGTCCATTATATCTTGAATGATAAAAATATACCAATTAAAATGAATTCAAATGTGAAGTTTCAGTACATAACTGGAGCAGTTAACACTGTGCTATGGGGAGTGGTGGGTCTTGACCCAGCCAGAGAATGTGTTGTAGATGCATTTAATGATGCCAGGGTGCCCATCTGAAAACCAAGCATTAACATGAATCAGTAGAAGAATACATCAAATTGATTATTGTAGATATTACAAAATACATACTCTTAAATGAGCTAAATCCTCCAGTTTTGTTAAATCTGCCAATTCCAGATACAATGAATACACTAGAAGCCACCCATAAACACTGGCTACAGTGAATAATATCCACAAAAGACACATAGCAATGTTGTATCCAAATATCATGTCATTTACAATAGAACAGAAGATAAAAGCAAATAAACGAAATAAGGTAAATACTGCGAATGAGTACAGCCAGGGTACCATCTTTTTTTCGTGCTCCTGAAAGTTCAAAATAATTAATAAAATGCTATTAAACTCAAATTACAATATTTACAGGAAAGAAATCTCTTTTTTAAAACTTACTTTTCGTAAGGCTACAATGAGAATAATACTTGTGACCATTATTACAAATCCTCCAATAAGAGAAAATAGAGCCCACACGATTAATGAATTACGCACTGAAAAACAAATAATACTGGTAAAACGTACAACAAATTAGAAATGGAAAACATCAGATAAAATACTATCAATACATTAAAAATTACAATATGGATTAGCAATCAGTTCAATATTTGATTACTTGTACACAAGTAAACAGTTCACATTTAAAAAATGTGAAACATAAATTTTTTGACTGGTAGTTTCGTTTAATGGTCTTACAAAAATATAAAGCTGGAAATCTTACCATGAACACTTCCAACATACACAAACTCAAAGCTAATGATGAAATATCCATAGTGATTGGAACCTGGCGTGGCCATAGCTAAACAATATATATCAAACACCGAGTGACTGATGGTAAAAAAACTAAGAAGCTAGAAAAAACAAAAACAATATCAGAGCCAAAGAATTAATGAAATAATTATAATACAAATTTCACCCTAGAAAATAATACTGACAATGGAAGACTTAAAATCTGAAATCAGTGGAGAATGAACAATCTTAATTCTATTGATATTATTCACTTCAGTCCAACTGCTAAAACTTTAACACACGGATCAAAAGATTCTATTTATATAAAATTAAAGGGTCAAATGCATTACTTTCGAACCACAATATCACCTAACATTTTATCTTTCATGGTTTCACTAATCCAAAATTATTATCAAAACGTAAAATATACATACTAATGAATATGTTCCAGTTAGAACAGACGCTCTCTGAATATCGAGCACAACTGCGTTCTGCAAAATTGGTCTCTGATACCACGGCACACGAATTGATCTTGTTGAACGAGACGATTTCAAATTGGCTGATGATCTGTTTGTCACATGTGAATAAACTGATGGAGTTCCCATACTCGGTGTTTTCCTTTCGTAATTCATAGTGTTGCTGTAACTATATTAAAAGAGAGACAAGGAAATGACAAGTTCACCCATTTCATATCAAAACAAATATTAGTAGTACTAAATGCACAAATAAATGCTCTTGTTTACCAGGCTGGCCACGAACAATTTATTAACAACTATAACCAATATTTTGGAACAGATCTCAGGAAAATATTCTTAAACACCTATAAACAAACGTCAACAATAACGTAAACATTAACGAAATCTCCCAGAAGAGGTGTGGTCGGTGGTTGTGCGTGGTAGTACTGCCAACTTATAACCCAATATTATCGACATCCTTCAGTAATATCACACATAGCCATAAATACAATCTTTTAATACAAATAATAAATACCCAATGCTAAATACCCAAAAAAACAGAAGAAGTGCTTTTATTACTCTCATTATTTGTCAATAAAATTACTTGACGAGGCAGTTGGTATCAAAACATAGCTTCTCTTTCATTTCTGAAAAATATCACACTACGCGCTCCAATCGCAGCCAATAAGGAAGGGCGGGTATTTAACGTTCGTTACTTGAGCATAAGGTCAAAGCGAAGTTCGTGAGCCGAGGCGATAGCAGAGGTTTAGAACCAACCAAGTGCGTTATTTGTGATATCGGTAATGTATTACCACTTTCTTACAATAAACTTGTGCTAAAACAGCACTACTTTCTCGCATTCAGTATTAGTTACGTAATACTATTTATACCACACTTTTTCTCCGAATTAACACATCACGGTCATCACTTTGTGTAAAAGTCATTACAAACTAAATAATCTCAACCAAATATCAACACAAATTTGACAATTATAGCTACTTTTCATTCATGTAAAACTTGTTCCAACAATAAAATGTAATTCACAGAAAAGTAGCTCCCGAGTCATTGTTGCAGTCTAATTTGATATTCTCCGAGGGCTAGAAATTTTTATTTAATATATTTCAAATAATTTCTAAAAGATTAATTTGTAAATGTATAACAAAGACTCGAATGTAAGAAACGACACAGAAAAATTAAATGGTATACAAATTCTAACTTATGAAGCATCGAACTGCCTGGAACTACGTTCACGAAGCGCAGTAAATTCCGAGTGGCCGACTGTTTGTCGCCAAATTACACAAATACTCATATTTTTTTGAAAATCAACATGACCTTATTTGAAGATCTGTTTTTAATTAATACATTTAATTAAAACAATTGTATCTTCACAATATTAATTGTGGGAAGACGTTGATTGTTTTTCGAATAATCAAACATTTCAACAAACATCTTGCCCTGCACCATTCTCTTCAGAGTCCTTTACGCTCATTAAATTTAATCAAAAGAAATTTGTGCCTTATTAAGAAAAAATTGTTTAAAGAAAATAAAAATTGCGTGTACATGACACAAAATTTTGCGAACACTATTCGTGTTTTTGAAACAAATTTGGCATGACGTTTTGGTTCTGTTTGGTGGTGTGGCAAGAATCAATGTTTTGTGAGACACCGAAGAAATTGTGTAACTAACCCGACTGTTTTATTTAATAAGATTATTTTTATTTAGATTAAGGAGAGTACTTTTAATGGAGATGGAAATTTTCACATGAAAAATTTATTAAAAACTTTACAAAAACATGAAATGTGAAGTGTCTTAAAACCATGTCTACCCATGCTTCATGGAAATAATGCTTTGAAATATAATGATCGACGATCTGTTAGACAATTGTTTTGAGTGAAGTGGATAAAATTACCTAACTACTAGCACTACAACAGCACGTACTTTCACGTAACATTACAATATCGTTATGTACGACCGGACGTCTATATAAGCTTTATTAATTTCAAACAGAAATTACGCGAAAAAGACTACAGTTTACAAAAAATGTACATGACCTTTTTTCAAGAACTAATTTTGTACAACATACGTCGACGCAAAAATCTCTATATTCAGTTTTGAATTGTTTGTGTAATTCTCGAAGAAATAAAAAATACCCGAAAATTGGACTAGAACCATATTTTTTACCATCCCTTATTACATATGTAGAGAAAATTTAAAGAAAACAAATTTGGAGCGGTTTTTGAGGGGGTGGGAAATCGTCAATTTCCAGCGCAAATTGCGCAAAAAGTATTCATATTTTTAAAAAAAATGAACATGACTTTTTTAAAGAGCTAATATTGTACAGCAGGCTATCATCGCCAAAAATCTTTGTCTTAAATTGTGTAGTTTTCATTATTTTTCGCAATTTTCGAAAAACCGAGCAACACGCGAAAATGAGACTAGCACTACTAGGTTTACCGTCCCTTATTACATGTGGAGAAATTTTAGAGTAAAAAAATGGACGATTTTTGAGAAAAATGCGATAATTTCAAGCACAAATAACGCAAAAATACATGTTTTTCTAAAAAATTGTTCATGACCTTTTCTAAATTTTGTACAACATACTTTCTGGCGCAAAAATCTCTATCTTCAAATTGTGTAGTTTTAAATTATTTTCATTCAATTTTCCAAAAATCAGGGAACTCAACAAAAATGAGACCCGCATCATTCTCTTAAATGTTTCTTTGCACTATTCAACAACAAAATTTAATCCCCAAAATTACTCCAAAATTAAAATATCAGTTTCAAATTCCAGGGGTTGAGACCACCCAGAACGATCGGGGTATATCAATTTTGGAGAAAATCGGCTCAACGATTAATGCGCTGGCATTGTGCAGACAGACGTTGGCGTCAATCGATTTTTCGGTATGAAGGACCAACAAAACGGATTCTGGCTACACATGTTAGAGGATTTTCTTCTTCGAAATTGAACATTTGAATTTATCCACTTTTTCGTTACCAGGGCCCGGCAATAAAGAGTTTTTGCGTGGAAAATTCTCATTTTCTGGCGCATGATCACAATACTTTCTCTTTTTATGTTAGTAGTGCGAGAAAGTAAAAATTTGATTGAGATTGGGCATGCCTCCGGTGTCCCCTTTCGGGAATCCACTTCTGTTCAGTAATGTTTTGCCTATCCTGCACATTTGTTCACGAGCTGCCATTGGTAACTCTTACTTTACATTTAAAAAACAACTCTGCACATGACGAATTATAAAATATAGGGGAGCGCAAAATCCCCTCGCGCCGGCCCTCTTGCTATTTATTGAATGAACATTTCACTTCACTTGCATTCGGAGGGTTCCACCATCCCCAGCGCTGGCGCCGGGTTTTTGTCGCGCGGTTGAGACGTCGTTCGGGCTGACCACCACGGGGTGGAACGGCAAGCTGCAGCTGGACTTAATCTCGCAAATTCTTCCAGCAGCGCCGTTTTGGAAGTTATAAAATATATACGATGGCATTGCCCGTGCCGGTAGGCAATTTCTAAGCACAATTTTGAGTACCTACTCTGACAGAAAAACATGAAAACTTATCGCATGCAAGAAAATTCAAAGATATTGTACGTGTATACAGTTCCCGCAAAAGTAGGGTGCCTGGAAACTTTATATTCGCTAATTAGAAGACTTAAGTTCGTTACATACACTTTAATATTTACTTCTGTTACACTTTTCCGAAAACTGCAACCAAATGTTTACATTAAAACTTGAGACCCTTGAACCCCACAGAAAAAAGACACTGACAACAGCAATTAATGAACAAAGGAAAGCACATTATAAAAAAGAAAAGAAGTACCGGAGAGGTTGAACCACAACTCTATCACAGTTGACCGTTTCTTTGAACCACAAACATCATTGCAAGCCAAGAAGAATTGGAAAGCATGTGGCACAGATGGGGTCAATGAGAATGTCTTACATTTGCAGACCCTTAGTGTATTTAGGCACTTAAATGTGTAATGAATAGTTGGCAGAGTTTGAACATTGCCAAAAAAGTTCTCGAAATACCTTACAACGGAGATAAATTATGTAAAAATATTTGCTCCAGAGCACTTTTTTAAAATTTTTTTTAATTTAATGATAATAATGCACTTCAGATGAACTCAAACTATTCGGTATGATACTGATGAAATTGAGGATTCTCCCTTTTGTTCAAGTGAATCAGCTAGCAAACTTTTGGTTTGGACTACTCTTTAAAAGAAAATTATCTTTATCATGAAATCGAAGAATGACACAATTATGTCACAGGAACCTTCAATTACATAGTACTCACAATGGCTGACATTACAATATATGAATAAAGAAACCGAATAGGTTACTCAAGAATCCCAGGGTGAATATTTCTTGCACCTTGTAAATATTGTTTGAAGCAAATACCATTAAATTCTATGAAATCAGCAAAACTTGCATTAAAAATGACCTAAAAAATGAGTTACTCAAAATTGATGAAAAGTAAAAGAAAAAAAATGACATTTCATTAAAATGCACTCCCTAGTAATGAATGCTGATGAAGTTGCAAAATAGAGACTGAGAAAATATCAAATTCACATTTCTGTTTAAAAAAAAAAAAAGGAAATATGAGAAAACATGATCTGGAGGAGCTTAGTCTCCAGGCTGCACCTCGTGCATGCAACAATAACAAATAATTAATTTGCAAGAGAAATGCATAGCAGAAGCCTTGTAATAAAATGTGTACGCTGGTTTTCAAAACAGATTGTTTTGAAAATATTTGCAGTGAAATATATTATTAAAATATTGCAGTGAAAATATTTACGAAAATAATTTTAAAAATAGATAAGTCAAACTGTTAACTCCATTTGCTTTCATTGATTTTGAAAAGGCATTCAATAGTTGATAGGAAGTAAATTATGAAGAAGATATAATCAAGAACAATTATCCTGAACATCCAAAGAAAAGACAAAGACAATGTATCAAGGATTAACAATTATAAATATTGGAAGAAGTTAATGTAAAGCAAGGCTTGAGTGATATAGCTTGTCTCAATAATTTAAATTATGACTGCAATCTGATCCAGAAAAGGAAATGTGATATCAGTCCTCGTATAATACATACAATTAAGCTGAAATACATACATAAATGAGTTGATATACATTGATGTGGTGTCACCTATAGTAGTGAAGAAAAGCTACGAAGAGTTTATAAGCTATAAAAACTCTGAAGACAGGAAAATTATCAACAGAAACTCCACAAGGAAAATCTAAGTCCTGACTCACTACTGAAAACCCTCCATTCACTCTAAAATAGTTTTTGATACTCCCGAAGAACTAGATTCTCAATTCTCTTGGTAGCAATACAAGTAATGACATGGACAGACACTGAGAATAAAACCAAAAGAAACCAGTCAGTATGTGGTTTAATAAAGTAGAACTCTACAAAACAAAAGTTAAATTTTACAAGACAATTGCGGTTTCTGTTCTTTTGTAATGGTGGTGAATCCTGGACGATAAATTAAAAACAATATTCCAATCTCTGAAATATTCTAAGAAAAGGGAAAGGCTATACTAAATATAATCTCATAAGGACTGAAGATATTCAAAAAGACTTAAAAAAGATGTCAGGAGAGACGAGAAAAGAAAGCTTTGGTAAGAAAAATTATATAGAACAGTATTTCTTGAAGAGTAAAATAAACCTATGGAGAAATCAGTTAAAAATAAAAAACAAATCTAGGCAATACATAACTACAATTTGCAATTCCTGAATTTTTTAAAAATATATACTTGTTAATTGTCGGTTTGAAATATTTATTTTGTGGTCATTGACATATCAATAGTAACAAAAATTAGAATTTGTTCCATTTCTAATTGGGAGTTTACTACAAAAGAAATGAAATGTTTGCTAACTTTACACAACTTTCATTTAAACCAGTATATCAGCAATGAAACAAATAATTTCATTTCCTTCTGAAAATTGCCTCTGAAAGACCCGCACATTGAAACAATTTTTAATGTATCTGAAATTAGACTAATCTTTATGTACTTCATTTTAAAATTACAGCTTTTTTCATTTAATATTCCAAAATTTTGTTGATATATAATGCTATTACCGAGAAAATTAATGTTAAAATGCTGCAGGATTCTGAGGCCTTATGTTCTCTGTTCCAAAATCAGGATTTACTTTGTTGCACACAAACATCACTTAATACAATGCTTCCTTGTTAGAACAAATTGTTATCACGCAAATATTTAAATAAGAAACAATTTTTGTTTTGCCAACATGGTACTTCACAACATACATGTTCTAGGAGCTTTCCTAAACAAATCTTAGACACGATTACCAAAGGCAGACTTCGAGTCCTTGCATTAATGTTCATATCTTGAAAGATATCAAGACTTCATTCATCGTCTAAAAGATAACAAATAACATTGAATTTGAAGATAAATTTAAACTTCAAATTCAATGAAAGTAACAAATTTTAACAGCTGCAAAGGCTTTTGTGTTATCCTCATACTTAGAGCTAATCAGCCGAATATTTTTTAAAGAAATCTATTTCCAGCAATCACATTAATGTATCCTAGAAGTCACACTGGCAAGCAACTTTTAACTTTTCAGATTTCCTAACATTTTCCAGCAATGAAGAATATTAGCAGTACTTAATTTAGTCCATTTCAATAAGATTACCAAGTACAAGGCACATGCTGCTTGAAAATAAGATGGTCCTATTTTCTGGCTTCATTAAGACAACCCCAGAAGCAAGAATTCTTTTGCAAAAGCCTTTGAATAAAACTAGATTTTGGTCACTAACAGCAGAACTTGGCTCTATTTACTACCCGGATTTGATAGAATTACATTTTGGAAGCTTACAACAATAACTTAATACCTACCTTTAAAACTGCTTTTGTAGATGCTCAAGAACTCTGAAAGAAATCGCTAAAATATGCATTAACTGGGATGAAATCGGGCAAGGAAATAAAATTATGTCCATGCCAATTGTCAAATTTATTCAACTTTCTAGAATCCTGGCCAAAATTTTTTAACAAACCAATAAGACTTTTGAAACCAAAGCTCACCACTGGAAATCTTACACTTCAATGACAAGTATTTCATTTTCAAAAAGTACAACCACTATTCATACACATGATCATTCTAAGACATCATTATATGCTGCCTTGCATGCCATGAGAATGCTGTAAACACTCCATCACAGCTGCTTGAAGTGTAAGATTTCAATGAATGTTGCAATGTACTGCAATCTTACTGCTGAATGGATTCAATGTGCACTTAAAAGCACACCTTTAAAAAAAAGAATTTCTAACAGTCAACATAAAACCACCCTAAAATTCAATGTAAATGTCATCACAGCAGCATCACTTTAAATAATTTTCTCAGAATGATCATGTATTAATTTTACATAATGACCACCTTTACTTGTCAGGAAACAGTTCTATCACAATAAAATTCCAATCCTTAAAACACATTTCTGGTAGCTTTACTATCAGTGTCTACTTTACACAACTCATTAAAAATGTTTATTTCAAGTAATGATTTCTCTGAAGAGAATTTATAATGTTGGAATTTGAAAGACTCTTTGGGCCTTTTAATGGAAGTCCTGATGCCCATACAAAATCAATTATCCTGAGCACTTTCTACAATCATATAGAAAAGTCATTCAATTAGAGATAATATCTTTCTAGTAGCAGAAGGATCTAACTGAAGCATGTAACTGTGTTAGCCTCATAAATACAGTCTGTCACTTTCTACATTTATTTACACTGTCTACACAATAAATTCCCTGTCAATTCCAACATGAAATGTTCCTCTCCCAAACAGTCAAAATATCACAACAGTTTTTAACTTCAGTACAATAAATACTGAATAAATAGAGCACAAATGAATAACAGATTTTCTTCAATTTTAACAAGATCCTACAAGTTTTATGAATGAACAATATCAGCAAATGATTTAACATAAGCTTCATGTAATTTAGTCATAAAGTCTGCATCATTTTTGATAAGGTAATTAAATGCTTGAAGAAGTTGCTTCTTTGTGAGTGGTTCTGGCCTAATCTGACAGCTACCATCATCAGAACCTAAACTAGACGTAGGCATTAAAGGTACAGATAATTCACTTTTTGCGGAGTTACTTGCCACATCAATATTATTGGTTTCCTTTGATACAGAAGATGTAAACATTGTAGGTGGCATCAAAGCCAGTTTTGATGATGCCTCTGTATTATAAGCAGGAGCTGATGATGATCTCTGATCTGGAGTGGTGTCACAACCAATACCATTACTTGCTGTTGGCTGAACAACTGGGCCAAAGAATGGTGCAAGAGATGTAGCATTTGAACTCGGAGAAGCTATTCGAAGAAAGTTCATACTATTTTCTACAGTACTTGTATTTGGTGCCTGCTCAGCATAAGATTTTGGTTGCAGCACTTCAACTGGTTCTGTACCACCAACTCTCTCTGCACTGGAACTTCCAGGTAAAGTAAGTGGTCGTACTTTAAAACCATTGCCATTCAAGATCTTAATTTCCCTTTTCATTTCTTTTCCATCATTAGCATTATCAGAACGTGGAGTAGCAGATCTTTGCTGTTTTTCGATATGCTCAACACTATGAGCTGGATTCGACATCAATCTCTGTAACAAAGGCTTCAAGCGATTGTCACCAACTTCTTGAACCAAAGCAGTTCTTTGAGAATGTCCCAAGTTTATGCCTGGAGGATGAGGAGCATTATGTACATTAAAATGAGAAACATTGCTAGTGGCTTTTGCAAAAAAGTCCATCACACTTTTAGATGGCACATCTTCATGAGGTGCAGGTTTAACTTCTGTTACAGACTTAATTTTATCGGGAACTTTGTTAGAATTATAATCTTCTTGGGCCTTATTTAACATACTGAATATATCTACACCTGCCGGACCACTGGTAACACTTTTATTTCGCACAGTTGTCTTATCTGGCATCTTTTTCTGGATGTCCAAATCTTTAACCAACTTGTCAAGCATCGTTGCAATTCGTGTGCACTGATCTTTATCATAAAACCAAATACCGAATATTCGACATCTCGTATTTCGATAAAGCAAGAATGGCTCTTGCAACTGCATTTCGAGGCCTTGAACAACTGGCTCTACTAAATTGTGGGTATTGAGTCTGTTCATGATGAGTATACCGTGGAAGGGTTCACCGTTACGGCTATACACAAACAATGCACCTTCAACATCAGTTCGTTCCCATTCATTGGCTTCCGCATTAAATGTGTATAAAGCGACGTGTGTCGCAGTACCCAAAATTTCTTTGACATATGGATCCACACGTTTCAACGCCGCAACATTCATCCGCAATTCGCTGATTTCCGCCATGTTTTCTACACTCCGCGTACAAACATGCGTATTCAACACTAGTTTATCGCTCAACTTGCAAAAAGATGAATGCTACGACCTCATTGTCTTTATTAGAAGTCAATAGACTACTTTTCCATCTTGCAAGTTAACTACACAACATATTTGAGAAGAATTTACCTTCAACCGTCAGTTTACACCAATACCAAGTTGCCGAAGTTACAGACTTGCTTGCTTACGCTGGTGCATTGGTGCTACCACTGCTGCCACTGGTTGCGAACTAGGACTCTGCTAAACGAACAGCTGTTGCGTACGAATTATCCACTCACAAACTCATTGGCATCATAAAGCGTCATTCAGTGATCAATGGATGTACGAGTAAAAACCTTGAAGATGAGCGATTTATCTTACGACATCCGAAAGCACATGAAATCGGACGTACACAACTTTCTGGAAGCTGTCAAACTTGTGAAACGGCGAATACACAGGAAAAATTACTACGCCAAGCACTCGGACTCAAACATCTTTATTCGTTGCTTGGGCTTTATTGGCTGCTTGAATTCAAGGAATAAAAATACTCCAACTTCAAACAGTGATTCCAACCTCTGTGCGCAGTTCAACGCAGTGTTTACAACATCTGCAAAAATTGAACCAGCAAACACATGTGAGGAGTAATTTAGTGAATTAACAGTAAGAAAAGCACAATTCGTCATTTACAAAACAGTAAGGTAACACGATTATCTAATTATCAATTGTTGAATACTGAAATAAGCAGGGTAAATGGTTGGCAGTGAATAAAAAAGTTTTAATTTATATTTGATTTCAGATAGTTTTGACTGATTATCTATATTTATGTGGTAAAGTAAAATGGAAACACCGTGGTTATGTGATAAACTGGAAGAAATTATTAGGACTGACGAGAATTTTGTAACTAAATCCTCAGACATAGCAACAGGTAGGGATGACAGTTTTATGTATTTGGCTTAATATGTTTCATCTGTAATCTGACAGATGATTTGATATCTGGTTTATTGCAGACGTAATATGCAGCAAATTAAAGTTGGTGACTTTGGTAGAAAGACTGGGAGGTGTATTGACAGATGCAAATCCTGACATTCGTAGACGTGGAACTGAAGTTTTAGCAGAAGTGTTGCAGAGCCTACCAAAGGACTTTTTAAATGAGACAGAGCTTAATTTCATATCAGCATTTTTTGTAGATCGTTTGATTGATCATTACTTTGTTCAACCAGCAGCTCTGAAGGGAATATTTGCTGTGGTATGCTATTCTTTTTTTTTCTTTTCATGTGGGTAGATTATTTCAAGTTTCAATCCTCATAGAAAGTTAATTTAGTGTCTTATCAATGTAGGTTCAAATGGAGCACACTCCTCGAGATATTGCTGTTCGTGTTTTGAAAACAATACTTCAAGGACATATTCAGTGTCAGACATTGAAGCCATCTGATCGCAGAAATGTTTATCAAATTTTCCAGTTGTTTATTCATAATTTTACTGAAGGTAATACACTGTGAGAAGTTTTATTTCATAATGATATATTAATGTTCACTGGTATTTGTGGTGAAATCAATGTTATTGCTGATTTGTTACTGAAGTTTTTTCTTTATAGACCTTAAAGCTCTTGGTCCTGATTTTGTATATGGATTTATGAATGTTATTGATCAAGAGAAAGATGCACGAAATCTTACTGTTGTTTTTGAAATACTGCCATTCTTTATAAAAACATTCTCTCTTGGTCACTTGACAGAAGAAATGTTTGAAATAATTTCTTGTTACTTTCCTGTTGACTACAGACCGGTACGTTTTTTGGGTTTTGAGGATTAAACCTGTAATTTCATTCCCATTCATAATTGCAAACATTATTTTTCACAGGAATACAGTGATTGCCCAGTGACTCGTCAAGATTTGGCTGATGGTCTTCAAAAGTGTTTAATTGCATCCCCAGATTTTGGAGAATTTTGTATCCCTTTACTCATAGAAAAGTTAGATTCAAAATTAAAATTAGCGAAGTTGGATTCTTTTAAGGTTCTGGTAAGGCACTAACTTTTGTTAATCTTGAACATTAAAATGTAATTTCATTTCTTAATTTGTGATCCTCTTATTCAGACTGCTGGGTGTGAGGTTTTCCCTGCTAATGTTATTAGGACATATCTTTTGGATCTTTGGCGAATTATTCAACATGAAGTTCTACCAGGAACAGACAAAGATGTACGTGAACTTGGACTTGGGACACTGAAAGCAATCGTTAAAAGTATGTCAGCAGCAGCTACTGAAAGACAAGATTCTAAAGTGCTAACAAATGTTACATCATTTGTATTGAATGGTAAGACAATGGCTCGGAATTGACAGTACACAGATATCGAAAAGACTGCCTGTCTTTTAACTTCAGTATTTACTTTTAGCTGGAGTTAACTCTTTAGGCGAAGTAGAATTAAATTTATTTCTTCCTGCCGTTCACATGATGTTGACAGTAGCAGAAGCATCCATGGCATCTTGTCAGGAAGTTTGTAAAAAGGTAAAAATCCTTTGTCTAATATCCATGTTAGAGAAGGGAAAATCCTTCTCAAATTATCATTCTTTAACTGTATGTTTTTATTATAATTTATAAATGTATGGTTTATTCATTAGGTTCTTCCGGTATTAATGAAACAGTATCATAGAGAAAATGGAACTGAGCAGAAGGTGACTGTCTTGAGAGCCCTCACAAGTTTTGTTGCAGTTTGTGAAGTTCAGAAAGTATCGTCTTTATGTAAGTAAATTGCTGTAGAATTGTGAAAAAAATTATCTGAACTAAGTTACTGGTTAAAGTTTAGTATATGGTACACCCTTAGAGGAGTGTGGCGGCGGGGCTTAAGCCCTAATTACTGTACGTGCTATAATAGAAATGAATAAAACTTACTGATGTGCAATTTTCATGGTTCACCCTTCATATGCTTTGTTCCCGCCGCATTGTAATGCCAATTTACTTTCAAAGGCAAGTTTTCTTGCTTCTTTCGCCCGAATCCAAGTCACGGTGAGGCTTGGGCCTTTGGCCCTCACGTTCACTATAAACATCCTTGAGTCTATCCAACGCATAATTACCAATTCACTTTTATATAAATTTTTTCAAGAAAGCTCCCAGAATTCCCCCTAGTTAACGCCGTAATGGTGTGAAGTGCCAATTTAAACAACTTCCTTAGGTTTTACCATATACTACATTTCAGCCAAATTACCTTAATGTGTGATCTTTATTTTGTGATTCATAGTCCACAGAAGGTCTTCCAGTTTTCAAATCTTGTAGTATAGTATTGATTCCACATTCAGTTTTATGTTAATTCTCATAACTGATAAATTTATCAGTTCATTATTAGTAATTCATGGAATTATTTATGTGTATATGCAATCATGTGTAATACTGCTATGCAATAATAGATCATTATAACTTTTCAACAAAACTGGAAATCTTCAAATTATCTATTGATGGTTTAGTGCACACATAATATACATCCAGAATTTCTGGTTTTGAGAAAAAAGTCAAGCTTGAAAGTTCAGTTATGTATGGAGCAACAATATTTGCTTTCTGGGAAAAAGCACAATCCCTCTTTTGTGTACATTCAACTCTTGTATCCTAGATTGTCATCAATAATAGATCTCAAAAAATGATATTAACTCAAAAATGATCTTAAGTAGACATATGTTTGTGTTCTAAAGCAATGACACTCTAGGTTATATTCTATATCAAACCTGCACATGATTTCTGCTGTTGGCCTGGTAAAGTTGTAATTTGCATTGTATGGAGAAAAACTAATAGAGAAACAGAATTTTAAAATGCATCTTGGGAATACAAGAAATCATTGGAAACAGAAAGAATACCTAATTTACATTACACTTTTACATTTTACAAATCATTCATGTCATCCAATCATCAATAATCTGCAGTTTTTTCATTGAGATGTTCATAATTACAGTCTAACAACCAACATAAAAGAAAGTCTTTAAATGTCTCTAATGTAATTTTGTATATTAAAAAAATATATATAAAAAAAGAAGAAGAGAGAGAGAGAGAGAAGAAGAAGAAGCTTTGTATTTTGACTTTTTTTAGCACCTGTTTTTAGTTCCATTCTGTTTGTTGAATATTTTTTTAAATTAAATATTGAAACAAAAATATTTGATAAACTCCTCTAGAACTCATTGGTAAATGTTCTAAACAGATTTCGACAATAGGATCTGCATAACAATAACAAGTACTCTTGTACCTGACCTTGGAATATCAAACTCCTTTCTCCCCTGTAGTTGTAGTGTATAATTATATACTACACATAATACAGATACTGCTAAATTACAATATGTTTGTACTCCATTATTTCTGTGTTTAATTTTTAATTCTTTAATACTGCTCTGATTTTCTGCTCTGTTTGTATTCAACCATGTCGTCATCCTTTGGGTGAGAGGAGGGTTTATTGCATGTAACTTATGTAATCTAATTAATTTTTAAGGAGTTGAATTTATATTTGTCACAAAAGTGAGTTGTCATTTTTGTGTGATTGTTTTGTATAAATGAATTTTTTAAACAGCTTATGTGTGTGTCTATATATATATATATAACTTAGTGATTTATTTGCATTAAAGAAAACAATATTTTTTTATCTGGCACATAGCTGATGTCACTTTTTAAGCTTCAGAAGTTCTTCTTGAAGTGTTAGTACTCAAATTCTTCAAAGGAATTCACCCCATACATTCAAATTATGTATAACTAATGTAAATTGCTTCCCAGTATGATTACTGTAGGATTGTTATCTAATCTGAGGGTTAATTATGTACAATTTAAAATGTAACAGTTTGAAACTTTTAGTTCATAAAGTTACAAGGTTTTTGTGACTAAAATTCATTGAGATGTGGAATATATTAAATACAGAATTTACAGTTTCAAGTGCATGTTCAAACAAAAGTAATTAGCATTCAATTTTCTTAAAATAGGAAAAAATTGAGTGCTTAATAATGATTTATTTTTGAGATACAGGTAATTCAGAACTAAGTCCTATATGGGAAGAATTGCCTTCTTTACTCCTTGGTGCTGCTCAATTTGAAACCCCTGAAGTATGTAAGGAGGGATTTCATGGAATAGCAGTGTCTGGAAGAATATTTAACGTGAGTAGCAGAGAAATCTTATACGATTTATTAAAGAAGAGTATGGATAAGGAAGAGGATGAGATGGTGAGGTGAGTATAGAGTATATTTAGAACTTTAATTTATTTAATATATTATGTCTATTTAAATAAGTAGAAATATATCTATAAGGAGCAGGCATCAATACAGATATTGATACTCATTTCAAACTATGATTTTAAGGCAAAATTCATTACAGCGATAAACTGTTTAATTTACTGAGTGTCTGAAAGAGGTAATGTTCATTTATAATAATTCTGGCCTCCTTGTGCAAATCAAGGTAATATTTTAAGTAAATTTTTCTCAAGTCTCACTAAGAATAGTACTACTAGTATATTTGTGTATGTATGTTTATTGTCTGTATTTACCACCTTAACACTTTTGACTACCAAATTTAAATTACATTTCTGAGATGTTAGAACTCCTTTAAATTTAATATTTATGTTTTTTATATTTATTGTGTGTATTATTAATTTGTTTTTTACTAAACCGCTCTTAATATTAATTTCTTTGGAATTTGTGTAGTACTTACATAATTAATACATGTACTTAAATCATTGTGTGTTTGTTTGTAGATCAGAAATGTTAATGTGCCTAAAGAGATTTTCTTGTTTATATCCAGAAGAAGTTCTGGAGAAAATTGTAGAAAAAAAATTAAAAGGTAAAATAAAGAAATATCAGGGTTCCAATTTTTTGGCATATTGGTACGCATTTGCACTTACGTACTTTTATTTTGCAGATATTAATTCCTGGCCTGAAGATGGTTGCAAGCATATGAATTTAGTTTTAGAATCATTGTGTGAAGTAGCCAATACAGAACCCTTTACAGATTTAATTGTTCCATGCATATTGCAACTTATTATAGAATCATTTTCTTTGGAGAAATGCAATATAGGCATGAAGTGTCTGAGGTTAGCAATCTGAGTCTTTATGTGGTATTTATAATTACTACATTTTAATCTTGCATATTATATTAATGAACTACATCTATCACACAATTCTTTTAGAAAGTTGTTAGAGTCTTCTGGAGAATCCAGCATATACAAATACATGTATTTGCAATGTGATGTTGTGTCTCGTCTTATATCTTGGTGGTTAAAAGGCATTGCAGAAGAAAAGTATAATGCTATTTTTGAAAACGAAGAACTCCTTTGTCACTCAGCAAAAATTGTCAAAATCCTTATTAAAAATCAGGAAAGAAGGTAATGCTAAACAGTGAAATTTATAATTTTAAAATACTTAAAAAAAAACAACAACAATTATTTATTATCACAGCTGAATTTGTTCAATTGTTTGCAGGTCCCAAGCTGAAGTTGTAAGTGCACTCCTTCCTCAGGTAATAAATGCAAATTGTGGTTTGACTAACAATGGTTTTACACGTTTGCCTCTGACCCAATATTCTCCAAAGAAGCATCCTGTTTTTGTAAGTAATATTTCCAATACATACTTACAATTCATAGAAATTCTGATGCACACATGTGTTTGAAGAGAAATGTTTATTTTCAGATTGTCCTTCTAGAAGCGTTGATAGGTTCAGTGCAGCAAGAGATCTCAATACCTGACATTCACCAATTGATCATTGACCTTACTCAGCTAGCCATTCGTTCATCACATTCATTGACTCAACTTAGTGCCTGTCGTCTTTCTGCAAATTTAATTAACAAGGCACCAGATGGTGAGTTAAATATTTCTTGTTAAATTCAAAAAGTTTGTAAATGCTATTGTCAAGGTCATTTTAATCAGAGGATATGCATACATTGCTGTTTGAAATTTAATAAGCTATTTTAATGTACAGAACACAATAACTGTAATAAAGAAGATCACTTTCCTATTGGTTTCCTGCAACTCACTTTTGAGTTGCAGAAATTTAACGTAAGCAACACCACAAGTGCAATTGGAAATTTCAGAAAGCAACAAAAGAATTTATCTGGAAGTTTCCAATGACTTCTTTGACTTGTCATTCAATAAGACAAGTTCACAAATAAAATAACGTCCACCAGGCTCAGAAAGTGCCAAATATAAATTATATTAATGAAATCTGCACTTTCAGTGCATGCTGCGGTTCTGAGAGTCATTCGGAAATGGTGCCAATGTGCTTACATCTTTTCTCTTTTTAAACATGCTAAATCCACACCACTGAGATGTATGTAGTGTCATTAGTGATGGGAGAAAGTTCCTAAATCATGTTTGAATGTTTTGTAGATAAATATAATTCATACAATTTTGAGTTGAAACATAATTTATCCTTGTCTATTGTGGATTACCACAATATTTCAACTGCAACTATGACATTTGTTTGTAATACATAATAATGTTTGCGTTTATTGAAATCTTCATTTATTTCAATAATATAGAATGGTGTAGATTTAAAACATGAAAAGTAACTGTCTGTGTGAAATTTCATAAACACTACCCCATCCTCTTATCACCCTCCCCCCCCCTCCCCCGTCAAGCAGAATTGAAATGTGTACTCTTCCAATTTTTAGCAAATTTCTTGAAAATGAAAACATACTAAAGTGGGTTGAAAGTCTTTGAAAGTCCATAGAATTTCCTTCTAAAAGGAGTTTGTGACAGACAGACTGACAGCGTAATTAGGTTTTGAGTTATTAAAGGTCGATATTAAAAATTAGTTTCGATGGAGAGGGACAGGGCAGAGTTGGACAAGGAAAACATGAAGCATGATGAGTAATAGGTGGAGCGGAATAAAGCAGGTGGGGTGTCAATGGGGTGTAAACCAAACTGTTCTCATTGGCGTCTTTAGAATTCAAGCCATTTTATGTCGAATAAATTATTATTATTATAAGTGCATGCCAGGGCAACATCAGATGACTTCCAATAGTCACAAATATTATAAAACTAATAATTTTTTCTAATACTGTTAAAGATAAGACAAAATTTGAAAAAATATCTTTGATAGCAGCAGTGCATTTTAATTTTTTGAGTTTTCAGGATTGGGTTTATAATAATTGGCAAATTAAGAGATGTTGTAATGTTTATTGACAATATAAACAAAAGTTTACCATAGGTGAATTATTGTATTTCTTGTTCTAATATATCAAGTATGTATCTAAATTGTCAATATAGTATTGTATTGCACTTGTTGATCAACATTCTGAAATTGGTTTTTCATTTTTTATTTTAGATGAAAATTTGGTAAGCCTTTTGCAAGAAATTTCAAAGAAATATCAAGATACAGTTTTGGAAGACACTAAATCTTTAATTGAAAGACAGAATACTGCTCTCGTTATAGTTTGGATAACAAAATCTCTTGTTATGCGAGGCCATTCAGAAATGAATAAATGGGTGGAATATTTGATAGAAGTTTTAGGAAATCCTACTGTGGGCCAAGTAGCAGCTGAAGGTTTTAGCCTTATTATGAAAGATGATGTGGAGTACTTGGATTCAGAAAGTTTTTGTAACGTCAAGTAAGTTCATATATTACATATATTTTTTGTCCAATTATTAATTATGTACAAATGAATTAAAAGGTATCTACTCATTATACTATTTAAAGAAATAACTTTAGTTACAGTATTATTACATTTTCTGCATTTCAGAATCCTTTTTCGGCAACGTTTTTTCTCATTCAGTCCAAAACTTATTGAAGCATTTCACGATGCCCCTCTGGACTCTAAAGCAAACTATTTGATTGCTTTAGGTCACATGTTGCAAGGAGTGCCACAAGAGGTTCTTCTTATGAATTTAGAGAAGGTAATTGTAATTTTTGTATAACAAAATGAATGAAGTTCACTTTTCATAATTGGCAACAAAATACTATAAATATATTTTTACAGGTTTATCACTTTTTCCTCCCTTTTGTTTATGTTTTTCATTTGAACTCTGATGTGTCTGCCTGCCGGTTTGTCTGAACGGTGCCAGTGCCTGATGCTCAACCATACACAGAATTTGCCCAAAATGAATTTTTGTCAAATGACTAGCCAGATTCAAGGGGGCTCTGGATTGGAAACATCTTTTAATTTTGGGGCATACCTTACATCATGACCCTAGTAAATTTTCAAAATTTTCTCAAACATTACTCCATATTTCAAACATTACACCCAAAAATATTTATATTTTATATAACTTTTCTTCGCTGTACTGTCATAAAGAGAGGAAAAGTGTGGGTATCACCTAAGCTTTTTTGAACTTGGTCTACATTTCTGATACTAATCGCAGAGATTTCTTTCTCAGTGAATTTATTCCACAATTTCGTGTCTTTAAATTAGTGTCTAATAAAAAAAATAAGTTGGGTAATAGTTGTCAAGAAATTTTCACAGAAATCATGGCATATTTCCAACATTTTCTTAAATATATAAGATACTCTAGGATACACTGAACCTACTGATCATTTTAATGTGCTGTCATCCCTATCCGTTTATGCCAGAGGATGCAGGAAGACAATACATTGAGTCCACTTTCTATCAGAGAGTTGTCTCCTGATGGAGATAAACAAACTGATGTTTGTTTAATATTAATACATTAACAATAACCAAATTACACATTTCATTACAGTAGGAGGAGAAAAAATGTTGGTATATCCACACATTCCCCACAGTTTAGCTTGTCTTACCCATTCAATATTGAAGCTAGAAACTTCTTAGTGCAAAGTGTTGTTCCGTATTAGATTTTTAAATCATTTCATAAATTATTTTTTCAAAATATGTTGTTTTTCCGATATTTTGTGTTTTTGAAAATACCAAAGCAAGATTTTTCCAAAAAGACTCTGAATTTGTGTTCTTAACATTTCAGAAGACTAAAACATGCAGATGTCTAAATTAAATTATTAAAATTTGAATGTTCAAAAGTTTTTTCCTCCAAATCTTCCATACTCCATTTCTTTTCAAGATTTTTTTCAAGGAATGGCTGTAGAATTAGGAAGATATTAATTTGCAATATTTTATTGTGTAACTTATTAATAATACACGGAGTATGTGTTGTTGTAGCTCCACTAACCTACATTTTTTCTAGCTTTTTGTTTATTGAAGGGCTATCTTTTTTGTTGGTAAGTATGAACATTTATTAATCGTAAGTATTTTACATATTTAAAAGAGTATTAAAATTTTAAAAATATTTAAGCTATAAATAATACAAGATTTTCAGTTCTATTTTTTTCTTTTTTTTATGATGATAATGATAATAAAGATGGTTATTGTAATTATTATTTTTATTGTCATTATCATTATTATATGTATGAATGTCTCTGACCATTATGAGTATGAACCTCTCTGGATATAATCAATTACAGTTGGCAAATATCAGTTATTTCATTCATTGGCGTTTTAACAACTCTTTTTAATCACATTTTTGTGAATTACTCCTCATTCTCATCTTTTTTGAAATATTTTTTCAACATGTTAAATTGAGTGTGATTTCAATCAACAGATAGAAAATTTGAAACTTTCTTCTTGATGATAGATGGTGCCTCTCCTGGTAGAATCATTACAGCAGTCAGAAGCGGTACTTTTGGTTACTACCCTTGACACTCTGCATTCTGTTTTGAAGAATTCTGATCTGGCTTTGCAGCATCATTTACAGACCTTTATTCCTCGAATACTTATTTTGACGACATTTCAAAAGTCCATGGTTTGTTCTATATGATATCTCTTTCTATTCTAAGATAGATAGCATAAAAAAAAATACTAATATATATTTTTTAAATGTTTTGTAGAGAGTTCGCATGAAAGCTTTGCAATGTATTTATGAAATTTATAAGTATCCCACTTCACTTCTATTACCCTTCAAAAACAAAGTAAGCATTAAATATTTACCTTTTTAAAATGTTTTCTTATAGTTATTTGTGTTGATGAAATATCACAATGTTTTGATATTTTTCAGGTGTTGAAAGTTTTGGGTGAATGTTTAGATGACCCCAAAAGATTAGTGCGCAAAGCAGCAGTTCAGGCTCGTTCACATTGGTTCCTAGTGGGCACTAAAAGCAAAAGGCGTTAATTATAAGTGTAGACATTTTGGAAATAATTTTACACCCACTATCGCTTATTTTGTATTGATACACCACATTTGCAAGCACAAACTACTTAGAGTATTTTTCAGTCTCTCTTACCCTCTTTTTGTATCTCTCTTTTCCCCCTTTTACTTTTTTTCCATTTTAATTTGTGTCTTTGTTTTTTGTTTTCGTTTAGTCAGAATGTACATTCGAAAGGGAGGATTGAAAATGTATGCCATGTTATCACAAATGCTTGTATTATAATAGTTCTGAACGATACAGTTGTAATGAATAGTTGCCATAAAATCTACTTAAATGTAGATAGTTTAAATAATGTTTTGTTTCAATTTAGATTCTTTGGTCTCTATAGTTGCAGTTTATGATTGTTAACTTGTTTTGTTATCAGTTAGTACATTATCTTTAATAAAATTTATTTCATACAGAAAGTCCATTTGTAAAAGAATTTTAATCTGTATCATTTTTAAGAAGTACGTCTAAAGAAATAATTAAAAAGATTCAGTAAATTTAGTTGAAACAAAATTGTCTCAATATTTTGTCGAAATTTATAATTTTTAAAGAGATATTTGGTTTAATCAAACTTCCTTCTAGTTCAGTAACTCTGAACCATTCATTTTTTTTTTTTTGGTAAATTGTACAGTTTGTAAATAAATTGTTTAAAAAATACTTAATTGAAGATTATTAATCATTTTTCACAAATACTGCTACGTGTGTTTTTCTCTGGTTACAATCAATACCCAGAGTCAATGATTCAATTCCTAAGGTGACATTAGAAGTAGCTTTATGGATTAACTGCCTTTTGTTTTTGTTGATTACTGTTCTACTGATCAAAAATTCAAAACATTGCATTGTCTTTCACCCACATCTTGCATTAAAACATCTGTGAGAAACCCTGCTGGGGGTATATGTTCCTCCACAATATTTTTTGGTATATGGGGTGTATTGAAAGTTACTCCCTGATAATGTGTACCTTATCTATTGATGAGTATCCCCCTCCCCTCAATAATTTAGTGATGGTGATGCCCGTGCATACTATGTCCTGTATGAGGGTTTGTGTGCTTCCATTTGAAGTGCACCTTGCTGCATTTTCTCATGCACTAAACATCGGTGAGAAATATTAATGCTGCGTTTTGCTTGAGTGCATCTTAAATACAGTAAATTTCATTTGCTTTCTGCAGTTTTAACAAACATGCAAACATATATTATTGTATTTCAAAGATATTGTTGGGAAGCATAAATATTACATATTTTTAATCATCCTGCAAGAAATGATTCTTATTGAATGTTCTCTGATTGAAGTATCCCCAGAATGCAAAGATATTTATCACAATCACTGAATAAGTAGGAAAAGGAATAAATAATTAGTAAACACTAAGATGGAACAGATATGACTTGAAACCAATTTTTGTATTAGAAAAAATATACACAACATTATTGAAATAGAATTTTAAAATGAAAGTACAGTGAAACCTATCTCAAGCTGCCACTAATCTTTCTAGCTGTATGGAGTTGGGATCTTCTATTTTTAATTTGAGATATTTAATGTTTTGAAAATAGTTCCGCAAACTCTTAAAGATAAAACACACAGGGATACTAATGAGGATACATGAAGTAATGGCTGTCCTGGTTGTGTTTTTTGGAAGTGAATGCTGGTCTTTGAGGGAGAAAGATAAACAGGCATTATAGTCTGCTGAAATTATATTCTTGAGATCTGTAATAAAATGTACCAAAACAGATAAACTGAGAAATAAGGAAATTCGAAAAGACTAAACGTTCAAGCAATCAATGACAAGGTACAATGTTGCAGACCAGAATGGTTACGTCATGTGGGACTCACGTTGAAAGCAGGAGTTTAAGTACATGCTTCAAGGCAGAAGAGATCCAGGTGGACTGCTAAAGAGATGCAATTCTTAGAAGCCAGAACAGATCATAGACCCTTCCTTGAAGTAGAGGAGATGAACATAGAGTTATGTATAAAAATGCTAGTGGTTTACCTGGAGATTTCTTTTATTTACACACACGTGTCTATACTCTTTGAGAAATTATCTTCATTTTGAAAGTTGATCTGCTGAAAGTTATTCAGACATCATGCTGAAATAAGTGATTTTGTTTGCCAGGTTAAATTTAAATTGATTAAGATATTCTTTCACCATTTGGAAGGAAGGGGTATCTTTTTATTATGAATGAAGAAAACAAGGAAAGATGAAATGCGTAATGTACTTGTGTAGTAACTATGCAACAAAGTTGTTGACTAATACATTTTTTCTGTTGCTTCCTTTTACCCTCCGTAATTCTTCAATAAAACTTTAGGAAATGTATACCATTCTGGCCTTTTTTTTTTTATACCTGGGGCAAAATTTAATTCAACATCGCCCTCCCTCTGTAAAAAAAAAAACGATGGAAAATTACACGTAAATAAAAATTCACCCTATCGAACCTAGTATTGCTGCATATATTGTACTTCAATTTTCCTTGATGCCTCATAGCTGAGTGTCTAAGTAGTTTATTTGACAAAAGATAATCAAATTTCAAAATGATATCCCTAGAATTTTGGTAAGTTTTTGTGTTATCAAAAATATGTAAGCTGGTCTGGATGGCCGAGATCGTTGTGGCAGTAGTGCTGTACCAATTTCAGACCAAAGGATCGAGGGTTCAAGTCCCGCCTCGGGCATGGTTGTATTTGTGTTCGTCCTTTCACCCCCTGTCATCACCATATCATGTCATCTTCACAGTTACCATAACATTAAATGCAATAGTGGTCGCTAATGACCTAGATGTTAATGTGACTTTAAATAAAAAAATATAAAGAAATAAAAAAATAAGTATTTCATTGCTAGGGTAAGCACTCTTAAGCAAGTACTAAGCCCAGTCAAATTTGATAAAAAAAGGGTGGTCAAGAGAAATAAATCCTGGAATTTTGAAATATGGCATTGGTAGTTTGATATTTACTGCACCTCATTCTTAAAATCCTGAAGTGTGAGGGCTGAACTGGGGGTAGGAGAACTATGAGCCATTGGTAGGAGAGCCAATTAAGGGTTGTTTTCTTTTCTACACTTATATATTTAGTTTCTTTTTTGCCTATATATTTGTAATTATCAATCCTACCAAAAAGTCTTCTCTTTATGTGGTTAAAGACAAAATTTTCTACAAAAAAAGTTCCTAAAAGATTTTGTTGTAGACTATTCTCACCATAAAACAACAATCATTTTATCACAGATTTGGTAAGCTGTTACACTTAAAATAGAAACTCGATAAGAACTGCGAGCCTTTGTTTGGTAAATTTTCATGTATATTCAAGAAGCTTACATTTCTATTCAAAATTTATTGAATGTACTGTAAGATAAGTAATCAAATTATTTTCAGAAAATTCAATGCCTTCTGACAATGAGTTATATTTCTAGCCTTCATAGTAATTAGCTTTGCAATACTCCCTTGAATTTGATTTTCTTTGCAATTTTTGCACATTTTTTGCAAGCAGTTGTGGAATAAATCATTAATTGGAAATGAAATTAAGTACTTCATCTAAATATTGAAAGCAAATGTGATCTAATATGCAAAATATTATGTAGAGAAGTTTTGTATGTATTGTTTATATTTCTTGTCTTACATTTTTGTTTAAGTGTAATATTCTGATAATTTTGACAGTTGCTGAAATCGTAGAAGTAATTCCACTTGTATTTTCAGCTTGAGATTGTCTGTGATATATATGTAATGTGTCTATTGTATTGTAACTATTAGAAAATTAGAATGTTCTAAAAGATAAATTTAAAGAATATATTCCTATAAAAGTGGATATCTGTTTCATTGTCTCCTTTTCTCTTTTTCCTTTCTATGTATTTTTGTACTTCATCAAAACATTATTTTAACTCGAATGATGTATGGAATATCTGGTGAATCAGAATTTGTGTGTCAGTGACATGTATTTTAATTTTGCAGTTTTAATCAGATAAAAGTCTTTATATTTACATCTTCAGAATTTGGTTGGCCTATGATTGAATGTCTGAGGTTGTAAAAACATGTTTTCAAAGAATATCAATATCAAAGTTATAAGAAGAAATCTGCATTAAAACATGTTTTGTAACCAAATAAGGAACTAACAAACATGGTATTTTTGTTCCAAATATATTTTTTGCATTTTCTATGTGAAGTATTCTATCAGGTATTAGTAATTTGAAATGATCCATTTTTCTCCATTCATCTTGCTTAATTTAACAAAGGTTTATCTAAAAAGTCAACGTATTTAATTGTTAGGTCAATATTATTGATTTAATATTTTATCTTATAACTGTTTCATTAACACTACAAAGAGTATGAATCTTGCCATGAAAATATTTAAAATATTACACAAGAAGACAGAAAGGTATTTACTCGTTTTAAAAAATTTAAATTTTTTTATAGGTTAATAGAGTGTAGTATTTAGTTGGAGCACCTCTTCAAATGAAGTTTTAGTAAAGAAGGTTGTCAAGTATTGATTTAAGGATTTTCCTGCCTCGGAGGATGAGATTAAAAGGGGAGAAGAAACCTTACAAATGTCTACTAACTTATTTTGCTGCAGAAGGGTCTGTGTCATGCATCCATGTTAGTATCAAACGTGTCATCATGGCTGAAGGTAATGCACTTTTTTTTCTAGTTCTTTTCATTTACAGATTTAATAATGATTGAATATATTTACCAATTATTTGAATTTAATTGAAATGTTTGGTTAGGTGAGGCAGTATGAAATTTTTTCTTGAGACAGTAAGGCAACTTGATATTTGGAAATTTTGTGCTTAAAGCTACTATTGTGCTAAAAATACTCTCCATCAGAACAATTTTTATGTTTATGAAATGTGATTCTGTGACAAGTTGGGTACTCTTTCTTGTGACATCTTTATCCATTCTTACAATTTTTTAATTAACAATTACTGTAAATGTATATAAGCAAATTCTAAAGTATGTGGTTATACATTGCCATTAATATTGCATCCTCCCCCTTCCTTATTTCTATCCAATTATATTTGTATTCCCTTTGTGCTTGTTTGATTTCAAACAATTTTCAAGTGAAATGGTTCTTGAGATTAGTGCCTTATTTTTAAATATGTAATTGTTAATGAAAAATTATTTTGAATAAATTTATATTTTTAGTCTGTAAACAAAGGAAACAATGCACTTCTTTAACAATTGAAAATAACTTCATTTGTATGTCATGTAACACACTGTAGAATTTCATACACGCCCCTTCCAATATTTAGCAGAAATTAGTGTTAAGATACTCTATCATATGACTGAACTAAGAATAGGAGACGCAGACACTTGGACTGTCAAACAAAATTAAAATGCAAAGTTCGGATTTTGGGTACGTCTGATTAATCATTCTTACTTTAGATCAAGTAATCTTAATATGTAAAGCAGGCAGCCAAGAAGGAGCTCCCCTTTTGTAATAAACGTGTAGTCCCTCCTGAGCCCCTCTTGTGAAGGCACAGGAGCATCTAGGAGCAGGAACTTGAGAATGTAAAACGTACGCTTAGCAACGTCCGTACAGCGAACAGCAGTGGAACAGCAGTACATACTTTCTCGCCTTATTTCTAAATTTGCAATATTCGAAACTTCAGAGAGTTAAACGAAAATGAGATCTGGGCCATTCTTTATGCGTTCTTTGTCCTATCCGTGGGGGGGGGGGAATTGGTATTTTTAAAATTTTTTTAGAAAAGTTTTTTATAAATTGCATAAATTTTAAACGCAAATTACACAAAAACCATTAGTTTTTCAAAAAAATGAACACGATCTTTTGTAAAGAGCTGATGTTTAGAAAAGAGTTTGTTTAAGGCAAAACTCTACTGATAATTTTGCATTTGAAAAGGTTAAAATTCAACAATTTTCGAAAAAACAGTGCTCGTCGGAAGTAATCTTTCTTTTCTTTTTTTTTTTTCAATTGATTCAGCAATTTTCTTTACCGTCCTTTGATAATACGAGGAGACAAAATTTGGAACAAAATTACGGGAAAACTGCTCATATTTTCGAAAAATTATACATAACCTTATTTCAAGATGCCTTTAAAGAAATAATTTCTTTAATTATAAAATCTCAAAATATTCCATGTTCAATATTGTAGTTGAATGAAGACACCGAAAAAATTTGAACTGAATTTTGAATTCTGAATTTTTCAAAATCAGGAGTTTAAACGAAAATGAAACCTGGACCACTTTTAAGCGTCCTTTACGCTAACCGACAAAGTTTAACCCAAAAGAATACAAGCAATTTTTAGAAAATTTTGAAAATGCATTATGTAAAGTACGTCCACAAAATTAAAATATGCATTTCAAACTCAGAGCCCTCGAGTTCATTTAAGTGGATTGGGGAATATCAATTTCGGAGAACATCATTTGTACGGTTTAGCTACTAGCGTTGGCACGGACGGTCGGACAGGCCTCTTGCCGTCAATCGATTCGTTTCAGTTTCAAGGGCCCACAAAACATGGATTCTGACTGCGCTGCGTATTAGAGGAACTAATTGACAATATATAGGAACAAGATGTGTTCACTATTCCGTTACCAGGGCCCGGAGATTGTCGAAAATTTGCAGTTTTCTGGCACACGATTACGAAGGTTGCCTTTTATGTTTCGGGATTTGGCAAACCTGGTGTTGCAATCTGGAAACTGACAGCTCTATCGTAAAGTTGGATATTTTGAGGTTATAGGTACTCAGAATGTTTTGACATACGAGAGCTATTTGTGTTGTTTATAGTAACTTAAAAGATTCATCTTGGCCCAAAAATGGAATTAAATCGTGCACATTTTCGTGCGATTATTTTTTACAACTTTCGACGTGAATTAACTCAGCAACAGTGCATGGATGAACTTGATTCAATTTTTGGCGATGAAGCTCCAGCAAGGACCAGTGTATATCGATGGTATGGTGAATTCAATTGTGGTCTAGTTCACTCCAAGACGAATTTCGCGAAGGTCGTCCAAAATCAGTTGTTGTTCCGAAAACCATTGATGCTGTGCGTGAACTGATATTGCAAGATCATGTGACCTATCGTGAGATTGAGACAACCTTGGGCATCATGGGACCAGCTTATATTCAATATTACATGAACATTTGACTGTCAAAAACATTTGTTCGCGTTGGATCCCACACATTTTGTCAATCGTTCAAAATAAGGCTCGTGTCGATTGGTCAAAAGAAATGCTCAAAAAATACGATCGCGGTGCTTCAAAACAAGTCTACGACATCGTGACAGGTGATGAATTGTGGATTTATGCGTATGAGCCCGAAAGTAAACAGCAGTCGACTGTACGGGTGTTTCAAGATGAGCAAAATCTAAAATAAGTTGTTCGCGCACGGATCACTTCCAAACAGATGGTCGCTTGTTTTTTTCGGAAAAACTGGACATGTCGCAACCGTACCACTAGAACAACGCAGAACTGTGAATTCTGCGGTACACAACGATTTGTTTGCCAGGAATCACTCTTCACCACGACAATGCGAGCTCTCGCACATCGGCTCAAACAACTGCATTTTTGAGCACTCAAAACATCGATTTGATGAGTCATCTGCCGTATAGTCCTGACTTGGCACCGAATGACTTCTTTTTATTCCCGTACGTAAAAAACAAACTGAGAGGTCACCGCTTTTCGACACCTGAAGAAGCGGTTGCTGCATTCAGAATGCATGTTTTGGAGATACCTCAATCAGAGTGGCAAAAGTGCTTCGACAATTGGGTCAAACGCATGCGAAAGTGTATAGATCTTCATGGGCAATATTTTGAAAAACAATAAAGTGATTTTCGATGATTAATATTTGTTTTTGTTCTCTAATCCTGAAATATAAAAGGCAACCTTCGTACAATACTTTCTGTTGTTACGGAATAAGTACGAAAAAGTAAAAAGAAAGAATTCTTGAAGTAGATTTTCTTTAAATGCTGACAAGGTAACTGCAGATTAATGAATGATTAATTAAACTAGTGAATATTCAGAATGGTACAGACTTTCTCGCGGTTTTGTCTAAGCTGACTTCTCGTTATTGACCCAACTGACACCTTTCAGCACCCAAAATACATTTTCTTTTTTACATATTCTCAGTTTTTCGAACTTTTAATAGAATTGAAATATAATTTTTTTATATTATAGAATATTAAAATTGGCTCTATGTACATATTTTCCCTGAAAAGTATGGAGCAGTTTCTGAAAATACGTGAATTTAATTTCATTTTCACAGAACACTTTTGAATTTTCGAGAAACTTCATTAGAAATCATTGGAAGCACCTGCACTTACAAAAGCAATAATGTAAAAATGTCCATAATGTAAATATTAACGACAAGAGAGATATTAACAAAAAAAACACATTTGAGTAATTTTTGAATAATCAGAAGAATACATCAACATAGCGTCCATGTCCTTTTATTCAGTGTATTTAGAACTGTCAAAACGTTAGAGTGAAATTTTTTTAAAATCATAGCCCACACTTCAATAAAAATTGCGCGAAAACTACTATTGTTTTAAAAAAAAATGTTCAGGTCATAAATTAAACTAATTGTGGCAAACAATTTTTGTGACTTGATGATTAAAGAAAAAATATCTACCTTGAATATAATGTAGTTGTAGAAAACTTTGAACTTTTGCAATTTTCAAAATATTCAGAGGATTCGACGAAAATTTGACTTATATTTTCCATTATTTTCGTACGCGTATGCTGCTCTATCCGATTAAAAAGTTAAATTAAAAAATTTGGAGCCATTTTTGATAAACAAAAATTAAAATGTCCTTGCTTCATATAAAGTACCCCCTCCAATAGAAACATCATTTTCAATTCAAGAGCTGTAACATAAATAAGATCGACTGAAAAATTGCTTACAGTTTAGCTTGCGTTGTTTACATACAGACTAACAGACATGTTGCCGTAAACCAATTTTTCAGAATCAAGGCCCCACCAAATGTTATTCTGAACACACGTGTTAGAATATGTTATTTATGAACAAGAATAAGAAGTATCTACTTCTTAGGTATAAAGAACCTAGAATTCTTATTCTTTTGCCTAAAAAATTGCCATTTTTTGATGCAGTATTACATAACTTTCTCTTGCTATATAAAATAATTTCTATTTAGTGGTACATAATTATACATTTTATATTGTGCCGAGTCGTTGGTTGCTACAGGAAAATTGATAATCAGATATATTCCGTTGCTGTCTTTATTCAGATGGATTTGTTAAGGAAAACAACTCAGCTCAGAAATATAGCTAGAACCAGCCCAGAGAAAATTGACTGCTAATGCAGCATTTACCGGTCACCAGGCAAGCGTGATTTGGCCAGATCTGGCCTTAAGTCAGAGACAGGCGACTGTGAGCAAAGAGCTACTCCTAACGGCGGCTTCGTGCCAGCGGTTGGAGGGGGAGCGTAATAAGGCGATAAAATAGAGAGGTTAGCCCAAACATTTTTTATTTTATCTTTTCTGGATAAAAAAGGGCGCCTAAGCCCTGTAAGAATGAATAGATATCCCATAAAAGGTGATACAGACTTTGAGGGCATGTGTGTTTGTGTGTGTGAGGGGGTGGGTGGGAAATAATACCTTTTTACCAATGTGGGCTATTTCAAATAACAAACTCAAACATGTGACATTTGCCCCTGATTGGTATGCAACCCATCATGCAGTGATGTTTGGCGGGTAAATCGTTGCAATCGCCTGCAAAAACAGCCATGTGAAATGAATTTATTGAGAGTAAATGAACCTGAAGGAAGGCGCTTAATTCGAAAATTTCAATGAATTTACTTGTTTGCAATATTACTTGTTATTTTAGGGTCATTTTCACTTACTAAATTCACTTTACGTGGCCGTTATGGTGGCGCATCAACAATATCTTTGACCGCATCAGGAGTACTAAACGCAGAAGCTTGGTGTATTGCCTCTCAGTCGTTGTAACTTCTCTATATGAAATTCCCCCCACATGTTTATTCACGAAAAGTGGTCATCTTTGATCTCCTCTATATGTCCTAAGAGAATTGTAGAATTTATTCTGACCAGGGAATGATCAGAGAATCATGTGTCGAAACGTTCCCATTTGACTTGCTCGTATCTGTTACTTCCTGTCATGGGATAAGGGGTTCGTGTGGTTAGCACAAAGAAATTTCTCCACCGTGTGTGCTGGTCTTCTTAACCTTAGGGTGGGCTTTCTCATAGTAATGATACTGGGACATTTGTAAGGAAAGCGCACAGCTATAACTTTGCGCCGCCTGGGAATCGAACCTGGCGTTGCACCGTGGAGCCCTGAGGGCGCGCGTGTGCGTGCCTCGTATACGGAGTAATATAGCAAGTGATACTATAGAGAAAGGTACGGAAAATTGCGGAAAATCTATTTCGAGATTTCAACGGGTTCCCTGAGACCGTAAAAGTGTTTTCTCGAAACATCCGTCTGTGAGCCTTAACTACTAGTAAGTTATTTTCTCTATCGAATTTTCTCTTGAAGATCTAACCTGACTGAAAGGCCTATGAGTTTGAAAAACATTTTTTTAAATTTTAGGGGTACTTCACATGCAGTCTCTGGGACATTTTCAAAATTTCTCAAAAATGCCTCCAATTTTCCCCTCAATTTTTTTGTAAGAATAGAATAAAATATACTTTTAAAGTTGGTATACTTGTATATTCGATTTTCATGTTTAAATTTGAATTTTTTTAATTACAAAAATTTGAATTTTTCGGCGACTCCTCACAACAATATTGAATATACATATTATTCAAATGAAATTTGTTATCCATAATTATCTTTTTCATTAACATTTTCTATTGAACATTTTAGTAGTTTTCGTCCAATAATGATTGAAAGAAGTGCAATATAAAAATATCAAAAACAAGCATTTCACAAACACGGCTCCAAATTTTTCTTTACATTATTGATAATGATAAATTTATTATTATTATTATTATTATTATTATTATTATTATTATTATTATTATTATTATATTTGTTTCAAATTAATACTTTTCTGCATCAGTTTTGCCTGGAGTAGTCAAGTGTGGAGCATACCGCTATGAAGATGGAACACGTTATGTAGGAGATTGGAATCAAAGAGGCCAGAAGCATGGAATGGGTCACATGGAACTGCCCGATGGAACTCGCTACGATGGTGGGTTTCAGAATGGCCTGTGTTCTGGTTTAGGAGTAATGTGCTTTCCTGATGGTGCAAAGTAAGTTTTACAAAGATATAGAAATTTAATGTATTACCCATTAACCCAATTTTATTTTAAGTCTTCAAGAGAGCATTATAGCAGTATTAAAGAAAATTGAATTAATTTTTAGTTGTCAGAAATTCATTATCATAGTTTTTGTTTGAATTTCTTTGATTTTTAGCATTACTATTACACGAATGAAATAGTAAGTAAGTAAGTAGTAAGTAATGTAGTAAGTTTATTAAACTTCTTAAACCAATTACCGTATAATATTATGATTAACTTAACCTTTTACCTTTATTCATTGGGGAAGTGCTAAGTTGGCCCCTTGCTTTGTTTCTGCACTCTGTAAATGTAGATTCACTATTTGCACAAGTTTGGTGTAGCTCTTGCTAGTTGCAGGAAGAATTTGGCGGAGGGGAGAGGGAGTTATTTTGCCACCAATACTGTAGAAAGACATTTATAGTTCGTTACCGTATAGAACTACATTTTCTGTTACACGGGAGCAAATTTTTTTTGTCGTTGCCAACCAGGCGGGTTGGTCCTTTATTCGTAATTCAACTAAGTATACCGTAAACCGGGGTGACTTGGATACAGATTTTGGGCATTTTTTTGTATTATATGCTATATAAACTAATTTATTTACAATAAGATTCGCCATTAGAAGAAATAAGTTTTTTGGTCATTCATTTTTCGATTTATTATTTAGATTTATTTTGTTACTCATTATATCAGAGAAAAATGAAGACAAAGTACCCTAGCCACCCCTTTTGGTGGGGTACACACCTTGATATTTAGCCTTTCGAATTGTATGTTTCCAACTCACACCACTGGAAATAATTAGGGACAAATAAAGAGGGTACAAATAAATTTGTTTTTTATTACAAATATAATCACAGATAATTATTATTTCAAGTCTACAATGTAAATCTGAAGAGTTGAAGATGCCGGTTTTGGTAGGTTTATCCCTTCTGGATTGGTTGAGGAAGAATTGGGTGATTCCCTCTTGAACTGTCTCTTATGTGCTTTTCTGTTTTTCTGTTTTTCTTGTATGTTAGTGGTGTCTGTTAACTGTGTGCACCTTATAATGAATATAAAATACTGTCTTCAAGTCACTCCGCAAATGTACAACGTTTCACTAATATATCAACAACTACCAAACAAAAAGTTTTAATTACATAAATTATCACTAACAGTTACCACAATGTACTATGTATTTACCAATGCAAAATAACTTCAAAACTAGAAAATGTAGCTAGTAAGTACAAAACTATACATAAAGTTCTGCAATGCTTTCATGAAACCTTGAACACACAGGTTATGGTAAAAGTGGACGAAAAAGGGCGGGGAATTTATGTGATGTCTGAGATTAACTTTTATACACGAAGGTTCATCCTAGTGGCTGGTTTAGGAATCACTGCTATATTTCATTTACATATGTAATACGATATTACGGTGTATCCCCGGCCAGTTCACGGGCAAGTCACTCCGGCCAGTCACCAGGTAAAGATTTATTCAGTATTACTGACATGTTCTTGGAAGGATTCACAACACATCTTTAAAAACATTTGAAGCAATTAAACATTACATTAACTTTTCACTTTTCTTGTTAGACACAAAAATATTCGAGAAGCTTTTTGCTCTAGAGAAAGCTACGTAAAGCTGTCCATGTGTAGATACAGCGTAAGGCAAGTTCACTTCTACACTAAGCAATATTATTTAACTTCATTACGGAACAGGGAGGTACATCCGTGCAATTTAATCGCACAGAAGATCAAGTAATTAGTTTAATTTCACTTACAGTTGTAGTTTCTTCACGACTCTGAATAGTGGGTTAGTATCATACCGCTCAGCCCGTTTTTACTTTCTCGCGAGAAAGTTATGTATTGCTACGCGGAAAAAAGGCGAATTTTCAGCATAAAAACTCTTATTACAAGGCACTCGTAACGAAAAATGGATACATTAAGTGGTTCCTTGATACCTAAAAATGAGTTGATGAGCCTTGATGAATGCTCATGAATTAAAAAATAACATAATATTCAATTTTGTAGGATTTCAATTCTAAACAATCTGAAACAACAAAATGGTTATTGCATTGACATGAAATTATACTCTGTTGATGCAAAAAGAATAATGTCAACTCTTCAACTATGTTAGTAGTACGAACCCATATCCTGGTACGAGTTCAGCCACAGTAGGCAAAAATTCCTAAATGAATTTAAATTTATTCAATAAAGAAATTAAATATAAATAAAAAGCTACATCTATTGACGATATGATCAACAAATAATTCGTGCCCGTGCTCATTTGTACTTTAAATTGATTTAACGCAATTCATTTTCTATCATACGGACCCAATACAGCACTTGATCTTGTTCAGTTGTTTGGGTTCATTCGAAATAAGTGACGACCTTTCAGAGTTTAACTCTGAGTACATGATGCGATACCATTGCCTACATTATTATTCAGTTTTCACAGCGTATAGGCACTTCAGAAGCCCAGACGCATATGCCGTCACATTTACTCTAATCTGTTAAAAGTTTTGAATTGAAAAGTTTTGAAAAAGAAAGAAGTTGAGAATGTTTGTACTAATGATTCCTAAATTACTAATAACAATTATCTTCCGTATCACCACATTCAACTACTTTTGACAATAAAATATTCTGTGCTCTTTCAATGGCCAATATTGTTCACGCAACAAACTTTACATTTAAACACACAAACAGTGATTTTATCAGAAACTACTAGGAAACGAAAGTACCAATTTAAGAATCTTAAGTTAAATAATAGTAGAAGAATGATGGCAGTCAGAAAATCATATCAAATTATTCAAATTTCGATCGTAGATATGAAGGTGAATTCATGCAAGGCTGGTTTCATGGACATGGAATATTCTGGAGGGCTGATGGAATGAGGTTTGAAGGTGAATTTCGAGGTGGACGCATATGGGGTCTTGGTAAGTCAACATAAGAAAAAATCATTGTGCATTGTAGAGGAATAAGAAAGAAAGGAAAGTAACATTTCAAGTGCAAAATATCACAAATTATAAGAAACAGCATTGATAATGTTATTGTCAAAGTAATTGTAATGTAATCCAATTTCAGGTCTTGTAACCTTCAATGATGAAAGTCATGGTTTTCCTAGAAATGAAGGTTTCTTTCAAGATTGTCGGTTAGTTCGAAAAAAACGTTGCCCGGATGTAGTTCAGAGAGCACAAAAAGTTGCACTTATGGCACGCGCTCAGAGTGACTAAACTATCATTGTAATACTCATAGTATTCGAATTATCTGGTAAGTACTTTCTTTCAATTTTTTATTGCCTACTTTTTATCTTTGTACTTCTCTCTCATTCGTTCAAAAATTCCTTTTTTTCAGGTTCTCTTGAGCGTAAATGAATATGAATAAGGTTTAGAAAGTGATTGATAGCTAGAAAATTTGCCTAGTCATGAATTATTATTTCTCAATCATAATATGTTCATCACGTTATGAATGAGTATTCATGTAATTCAGTGTGTAAAATCTATTTTTTTAATTTCTCTTTTAAATAACAGAAATTTTACTTTTAAAGTATTTTAAAAGGTTTGATTTCTTTTTTAATTCTTGTAATATATTTGTCACATATATTTATGTTTCTTTCCTGCAAATATATTTAAAATTTCAAAATAAAATAGTTCAGTCTTTCTTTTTGTCTCCTTTAAAAGATACCATTAAAGTCTTACTTTAGAGCGACTGTTCACAATCATTTTGACGTGCTGACAATTTTTAGGATCACTTTCTACGACGGAGCTTCTTAGGTCTTCCCTGTCTTACAATATTACGAGTTTGGCTTTTAGGAGTGCTATGGGATAGGGAATAGACAAAAAAGGAATGTAAATATATCTAATTAACTGTCCAACATCCATGCAATTATATTACATTTTTACAGTGTTTGAGATAGAAGGCAACAGAGCCCTTTGAGATTTTTAAAGCATAGATTGGGAATCAGTATTTTAGACTTTGAACTGCTAATAAAGGGGACAGATTCATGACTATTCTAACACCAATCATGAAGTGTGTGAGTTAGTGAATAATTGATAAAGAGTATATATAACTGATTGGTTGGAAATTAAGAGTGAAAATAATGTAGGTAGGAATATTTATTGATGCTGTCCATGTGAATATAACTTTCCTATTTTGGCTACTTTTTCTGATGCACCCTTTTTTTCATTTTGTGTAGATGTCATTTTACTCACTATTGTCTGAGTCATAAGGTATTACTCGCGCAACTTTTCTTGAACGATGGATTGAAGAATTGCGGGTAGAGTTGGGATATTAGTTATGAAATTGGCCACTAGATTTTATGAAGCAATGCCAATCTCTGGAGAATCAGTCACGCCTTCGTAACGTTGTCAATAATTTGCGTTCTAACTTTTAAGGAGTTAGAGGTATCTTCTATGATAAATCTTTACCTGCTTCGGTCATTTCTTTATAATTTTTTTTTTGTGAGAAAATAACGGATAGAAGTTCTCGTTTTCAAAAGAAAATTGTTTCTATTTTGCGTCAGTGAAGATATGTTTGAAATGTCATTAGTGCTCGCTGCAAGCTTTTACCTTCATCTGTTTATTGGGCCAGAGAGGGGGAAGCAAGGTCATTGATCAAGAAAAGTTGTGCAGTAATATTATGACGGAGTGTCTTGACTGTAAACATGTAAAACCTCGTGTAATTATCTAATGCGATAACTTAAAATGTACATCGGAATGTGCCTTAGACATTTCTTCACAATGCTGTGACGAGTTGAAACTAAAATTTAAACTAAAGGAGATTTGTGTTTTGAAATAATTTTAAGCAAAAAAATAATGTATGTAAGTACAATTGTTTATCTAAATAAAATATTATTCAGACTAGATGTTAAAACAAAAATAAATGCGGTCTGATAAAAAAGACAAATGTAATTTCAATTAAACTGAATAAAACTGAAAAATTGTTGACATGTTTTACACAAATTAAAATAATTATGGGGACAGAAGTAATTTCCCACGGCAAATCGAGTCGTGTAGGGTACTTCTGCATTTGTTTTTGAGGACACGAGCAACAAGAGAGGGTCTTGTGTCCCTCCAACGCTACTTTCTGGTCACCCCTGCACTACTCTTTCTCATTTTGTAGTAATTAAGACGAGAGTTCATTGAAATGACCAATTGATTAACAGAAACCGACTTGCATGGTAGATTTGTCTACCCTTCCAGTGAACTTCCAGTGCAGTATTTTTAGCCCGTACCTCCTTTAGAGGGCGTAGGGTGTTTGAAAGAAGTTGGAAGGCGTTTGAAAGGACCGCCCAGCAGCGAGACGGAGAAAGTTCGGCCGCCGCCCGAGAGAGGTCGCTAGAGTAGCCACGCTCCGTCAGGCGCGTGCAGCACCGACACCAGCCACACAGCGCCGCCAGTCAGCGAGGGAGAGTAAATGGGCCCTCTGCGAGGAGTCAGCAGTTCGGGGTTTAATGGCGAGCTTATTTGAAAGTGCAGTTTACGACATGAGCTGTGCTCGTATTTTGCACTTCTTCTCGGTGCTCAGGGAATTGGCTTCTCCAGGTTTTTCGGAAAGTTGTTGCTTTTGCCCCCGGCATATTCTTCTAAACATTACATGGTAAATAAAAACTGTTTTGTGGACTTTGCTTACTTTTGCGCATTACGTAGGGAACTTCAATTTCATTAACTAAATTTGTTGTCCAAATGCGTTTCGTCTCCTGCCCCTCATTGACGAGTTTCACTCTCCTTACACCTGGATTATGGTCTCTCGCCTGTTCCAGTGGACGCCATTTACTAAATCACCGCGCTTCGTCATCCGAAGAGTTACCATCTCACCCAATGCCACCTGATCACTCTTATTTTCACAGTATTGTGTACGTCGAATAATGTGAATAAATGGGTGATACCGACTACATTTATAATAGAAATATTTGCTGGTATACTCTACCTGTGTCTGCATAGCAGGATTGGACCTGCCCCTTCTCGTCGGATGAACAGTCTCGTGACGAATAGTCGAGGGAGTGATGAACTCAGTTGTTGTGGGATTTTGTATGTGCTTTTGCATCCACAGGTCCCAATACACCTAAGCAGACTGGTCAAAGGAAAGGCTGGACATTAAGGAGACAGGTAATTTGTGGGCTATGATCTCATATGATCATTTTGCTTCGTGCATTTCTTGCTTTCAGGCATTTCATTCTGCTCAAAGGCTTATAAACGACAATGAGCAAAAGCTCATTGATCGTGTCACAGATACATATAGAATGATGAACACGTTTTTTACACAACTGGAATCAGTAGTCTGTTCTAAGAGGCTTGTGTAAGTCTTTTAGACCACAAGTGGTCGTTCAATGCCCTATCGTCTAGCCGTGTGGATGACAACATCCCGTTCAGACCTGATGGATGAAGACATACAGAATGTGTGGGGAATCGTGTGACATCTTCAATCAGGTACATCGACAGCTCTGCACTCTGGTGGACAGAATGGATACCTCTTGATTGTTGTCGAAGCTCCCACAGGTGCACTGTACCAATCCCACCTTGGTGGTATGTGAGGACTGTACCCAATGTCGTTTTTGTACATCGATGGCGGAAACACAGAAATATTATACATTTGTTGTGAAAAGTTAGTGACAATTTTTTAATAAAATAGCAAGTTATTTATTGAGCTTAGAAAAGTATCATTGTTTCGCCTGTTCATTCAGCGGTATTCTTTGAAACTTACTCAAATATATTTTCATAATATAATTTCATTACAATACACGCCGCATCACGGACACATCGCTGGCGCGTCCTCTAATACACATTCTGCAAGGGGGAGACTTTCACACCCTATAATATATTCCGCCATGGGTAGAGTTTCACCTCCTACTATATTTTTCTCCATGGCTGGTAAATACAATCGTGAACACGCACTCTCCAAGGTTATTTCTTAAGCTTTATTGCATTATTTTTGTTTTCCACAATATTACTGTCAAATGGGATACTTTGTAAATTATATGTCTACACACTGATGCAATATGTCGCGATATAAGAATTATTGATGTGAATACCAATCATGGTTTACAGTAGAGGCATTATGTTCACTGTTAATTCTGAATTTTCATACAACTCCAAAATTGAAGATAGAGATGCTTTCTTCAAATGAAATTTGTTGTTCACAAGTAGTTCTTTCGTTGAGGTGGTGTTCATTGTTTTGAAAATTTTAATAATTTTCGCGAGCAAAATGTGCCAAAAAAAATATTTTTTCAAAAAACGGCTTCCCATTTTTTCTTCTAACTTTTGTGCTAAATTCACTTTATAAGATGACATAATCGCCAAATTGCTTTATTGTTTTGTTTTTTCTCAAATTACAAAAACGTTGTTTTTTTGACTTGTCTATCACGTCGTTCATATTTACATTAGTGGCAATTCGTTCACATTACTATGTTTATGAGTACATGTGCTTGAAATAATATCGTATAAAGCTTCTCGAACACTCAACCGTTATTTGCGAAAACTAGCTCGAAATTCAGAATTTTCAGAAACGATCTAACTCCAATTACTTAAAAATCGCTCCAATTTTTTTCTTCAAGCATTTCGGACGATTAATGCTAATTGTACTATTTAATATGACGTAAAGTTTGTTCTGGGGTATTTGATGCTTTTTTTAATTACACAAATGTAATTTTTATAAAGGTCTCTCGCACTGTTAATATGCATATTTCCAGCAATTTGTAACACTGTTGTATTTGTGAGTTAAAGTTATTTAAATGACTTCAGGCGGCGATTGATGGCAGCTGGCAAAAGTATGTGGCAAGTCTGACTAGGTAGCCGCGATCAAAGGAAATAAAAATAACTAATATGGGAAAGTCTGTGTTGTTCTTTAGTACCACTAGTACTTAAAACAACATTTAATTTTTTTAAAAAATCCAATCACCATTTGGCACAAATTTCAAATTATTAAACTGATAAAATTGATTTTTTTTACTATCATCCACACTGAATACAAATAGAAAATATATGTTATTGAAAGTTCTAAGACACATTCTAGACGAAAAAACTGAGACGGAACTCGAACGTTGTCACAACGAAAATAAATTTCTTTTTTTTTTTTTCTATTTTAATTTGACGTCAAAATTGGTTGGAAATAATACCTTCAAATTCAATTATGTTCCGGTTTTGCAGTTTTTTTCAGCCTGATACTTGAAATAGAAGCTGAGAAAAATAAAATGTCATGTTTCGTTGTGAAAAATATGTTTCTCATTGTAACTCTG